CGAATCAAACATACACACGCTCAATGATCACTCAAAACTCATATGACTTGTAGTTGATCGATATGGCCATATACTAAGTCACACTGCTTTCATTCACATGTTATACCAAACAAATAATGTTACACGGCCATGACATATAAACAAACACAAACAATTTCATGTCATGGTACATACAAGGCCACACGGCCACAAGTCATGATTACTAGGATGAGATGCAAAAACAATTCTAGATCGGTTTCAAGGCCGAGAATCATAACTTAGGGTTTATGAATGCATCAAACAATCATACCAATCAATTAATCAAAATCAATCATCAATTCTCCCCCTGATTTTAATAATTGTGGTAATTAGGGTTTCAAGGCCCTTTGGATATCCAGATTCAATCAATCAAGATTCAATTCATAAACCTCAAAAACGTTTTTAAGAAAAACAGCATCAACAAAATCGGTTACAAGGTTTCAAGACCTTATGATATTCAATTCGTGATCAGTTTACATATTAAACTATCAACCCTAAAACCTCAGATCATCAATCATTCAATCAAACATGAACAATTTTTAAAAAAAACCTTAATGATCATCAATCAAACCGATTTAAAAATTAGGGTTTTATGGTTCTTCAAACAACCAAATTTTAAAACCTATCATCCGGTTCTATGTGTTCAAACAATCACAAAATCTATCCGATATCTTATCATAGATTTATTGATTCCATACCTAATGGTTTCTATCAATTAGGGTTTATAGGTATACCATTGTTTTAGATTAGTAACCGGACCACCTTTAGAGAGAGATGTGGAGTAACCGGCTAGGGTTTCTCCAGCTTTAAACCTTCTATGGCTTTCACCTGCAAAAAGGAAAGTTAGCTAGGGTTTTCTTAACCAAAAGGAAAGTAAAAATTAAGTAAAAGGAAGGAGTTAGTCGTTTGGTTTGGTTGGTCGGAGTTAGTGGCCGCCTGTTAGGGTTTCTCGATCAAGGCGGCTGGTGGTTGCTTCTCCGCGTACTATGGCTTCTATGGGAAAGGAAATTCGTGTCTCAGCTCATGAAACAATAAACAAGGAGGTATTAGATCATATGAACATCACAAGATAACAATATAATCATAAATCAACTAATGTATCATAGAGAGAAGGAGGTAGCCGCATAGAGAGAGAGAAGCGGCTAGGGTTTCTTGAGCTTGACACTTGTGGTGGCTTGTAGCTTAAGCTATAAATTTCACCTACAAAAAGGAAAGATAAAATATGGTTTTATCAGCCAAAAGTACAATGAAAATCGAGCAAAAGGAAAGTGTAAGGAGGCTGGTTTGGCTGTTCGGATAAAAGGAAAATCGCTAGGGCTTTCCGAATGGGAAAAAGGAAAGTTTGGTCCGCCGGATTGATTCGGTGATTTACGGCGCGTCTGATGTCGGATTGACACGCTGTTTGAACTGATGGATTCCTATCTTCAAGAGCTTCAATTGAATATGTAGATCGTCGTCTGGGACCGCGTGGTTTGAGAGATACATCGGTTTGAAGTTGAGCCAGTATTAGGGTTTCTCGGGTAGGAGAAAAGGAAAATCATCCGCCGGCTTGTTTCTGAGCTAGAGGACGCGTCTGGTATCGGATTGAGACGTTCTTTGAACTGGTAGCTTCTTCTGGTCAAGATCTTGAGATTGATATGTGACTCGTCGTCTGGGTACACACGGTTTAGGAGATACGTCGCTTTGAAGATGCGGCTGGGATTAGGGTTTTGCTGCTGCCGCCTAGAGAGAGAGAGCTACGGTTTTGTTGATTGGTTTCTTAGCTCTGGTAAGACTATCGTGCTGATAACGTGTNTACTGAATGAATATAGGTTCCTTTATATAAGGACTTACAAGAAGAGATAAATGGAAATAGTACAAATCCTAGACAACACACTAAATGGAAAGTCTTGGTTGCCTATAAGCATAATGGGTCACGACCCTAATAGTCTTGGGTCTCTATCTTCTTGGTCTTGGTCTATGGTTATGGCCCATCCACATAATTGTTCATAACAATTAAGGGTTTGTGCGATAATGATGCTCTCAGCACTAACGGTTGGCTTATAAAGTGACCAACGCATATATAGTTTAGTGAATTTCTTTATATATAAACATGGGTGAAGCTAGAATATTTATCTAGTGAGTGCAACATTGATAATAAAATAGAAAAAGGTAGAAGAAGGTTTTGAACCTGGATTATCTAACTGATTTTATATGTTTTTTCTCATGAAACTTAAAATATAAAAACAAATTATGGGTGCCCAGGCCACCATATAGGCAACTTGGCTTCGCCTTTGTATATAAACACATGTTGTTTTTACAAACACATGTTTGTATTGATACTGTGACAAATAGGTCTGGCTCAATGGTAAACAAGACCTAATTAAATAAAGTAAATGAGCCTTAATTATTGTTATGGTTTATAGATAACTTTTGTTTTTATGAGTATATAGTATATCTGTATATACCGAAAAAGCTAAGTAATTTTTTTAAAAACACTTTAGACTCTTTTTACTAAAACCGATAAACACAGAAAAAAGAGAAGTTATGCCCAAATGTTTTAAAGAAAGAAAAAGAAAAAGAAAAAGAAAGAAGATGCCCAAATACTCATTCGGCACATGCATAGAAAGGGAATTATCATTTAAATATGCTTACCTAGTTACCTTCATAATCATACTTTCATTTCAACTAATCTTATTGCTCTCCCTCTGTATATATAGATTTATCCCACCAACCCACTTCAGACACTCGCATTACTTTTTCACTATTTTATATTATATCTTACAAAAATCTAGTGTGGCTACTTGATCTATAAGACTGCAACTACAAGTAAATGCAAACACTTGTCTTGTGGCTTCTTTTGGCATATATATATACAAGGTCACAGGCCATTTTCTTGGCTACCTAAAGTACCATGGAGTTTTGTCAACCAAACAAACACACCACAGCCACAACCACAGTCACAACAGCTTCAAGCGACCCGCTTAACTGGAACGTAGCGGCTGAGGCTTTGAAAGGGAGCCACCTAGAGGAGGTGAGGAAGATGGTGAATGATTTTAGGAAAGGAAAGGTGCAGCTCGGTGGAGAGACGCTGACTATCGGCCAGGTTATGGGAGTGGCGAGAGGAGGAACGACGGTGGAGCTTTCAGAGGAGGCTAGGGCCGGTGTGAACGCGAGTAGTGAGTGGGTGATGGAGAGCATGAACCGGGGCACGGACACATACGGGATCACCACTGGGTTTGGTTCCTCTTCTGCTAGGAGGACTAATCAAGGTGCTGCTCTTCAAAAAGAGCTTATTCGGTACGTACAATTATAGTATATAAATTTTACAAAAAAAAAAATCATAGTATATAAATTTTAGAGATTATTTGCTGTAATATCCTTTTTGACCCAATATTAGGCGTTTGTCCATGATGGTACTGATCCATTTTTATGACCATATTACCCTTTCTTTTACATGCATATGACTCTTTCTCCTGACACACTCTCTCTGTACTGACACATTCTCTCTCTCCACAATCTCTCTTTCTCTTTCCTTCGATTCCTCTTCTTTCTCATTCTCAAACTCTTTTATCATTTTAATATCTTCTTTTTTGTGTAAAAATTTATTGTTGCGAAAAAAATTATTACTATTTTACTACTATTCTTATGAATCTATATTATTTTAATTTCACCACATTTTGAAAAAATCAGCATTGAAGTTTTTTTAAAAATTGCCGAGATGTTAACACTTATGTTAGCTGTTAACAAATAATGTAGATGTCAACAAAAGTGTTAACTGTTAACAAATACATGTATCGGATGTATTAACAGAGACATTAACTGTTAACAAATTTTGTAAATGTTAACAAATGTGTTAACAGAAGCAGTAACTGTTAACAATTTTTGTAGCTGTTAAAAAAACATGTACTATAGGGGTAAACAGATGTGTTAACTGTTAATAAATTCGTAGATGTCAATACATTGTTATGTATTATAAGTAAAAAAATTTATATTGTTGATGTTTTAATTTCTCTATCGAACTGAGTGAATTTAAAAAGAAAAGAAGTAGAAATAAAAAAAGAGTGTGTTATCGTTGAGAAAAAATGAAGAAAAAAAACATTTGAGAGAGTAAAATGAAGGTTAACGAATGAAAGAAAAAGAGTGAGAGAGAGTGTGAGAAAAAGAAAAAAAATATGTGAGAAGGGAAAGAGAAATTCAATGCTCTACAAGGTTATTTTGGGCAAACCAAGCTTTAATTGTATGCTTTTGACTTATAATGTCAAATCATGGGCAAAGCTCTAATATTGACTTCAAATAAGGGTATTTCACTAAATCTCTCTAAATTTTACGAGTATACTCATTTTCTAATTATCTAGTACCCCCTCTGTTTCACAATATAAGTAATTTTAGAGAATTTTGTTTTGTTTTAAAATATAAGTAGTTTTCATTTTTTTTTTTAATTTATCAGATCATTTAGACTATTAAGGATTGGTTCAATTATATCTAATATTATTATTTTTTAAATAATAGTTTTTAAATTAATTTTGTGTTTTATCTGAAACTATTATATTATGAAAAAAACTATCTATACTGTTATTTGCGAAGTGATTTTTCGCAACGGAGCTCCCACGTTAAAAGTTAGAGTGGTTAATATCGTTTATACCCTTAATAGATAAAATATATAAATAAGCCAAAAATAAAAAAAAATAATTTAATACTTATTTGATTAGATAAATGATCTAAATTAATAATAATGATAAGAATTATCCATAATCTAAATATATATTTAAAAATAAAAAGATAATTCCTATATAGATATTGTGTTGTTATCCGGAAAATATATTTTAATGAAAAAACTGAAAAAACTGAAAACACATAAACAAATATTCATAAAGTAAAATTTCTAATTGTATATAATTCAAAAAAGAAAATTGAAAACTTTTAATACGTAATTATTTTCAAATTAAAAGAATATAATAATATAATATAATGATATATATCTGTGAAGTTATTTTTTGCCTCTGAACTTACACGTTAAATTAAATTTATATTTCTATTTTATATAGTTAAACCTTAAGAAAATACGTGTTTGACAAAAATAAATTAAAATATATTGTATTATTATCTAAACTAATGTTATTCTTTCTATAAGATCAATTTTTGAATGTAAAATTATCTATTCAATTTTTCAAATTTTTTTACCAATTAAGATATATGAAATAGACTTTAAATTTTTCAAAGTTTCAAATGCAAAATTAGTTTGTAAATAACTTTATCATGTAAAAAGTTTAATATTTCAGGTCAAATTTTTGGATGCAAATAATCATTTATTTTGATGTTTTTTTAAATTGATTTAAAGATAATTAAACTTATTTGATTAGATAAATGATTTAAATTAATAATAATGATAAGAATTATCCATAATCTAAATATATATTCATATAAAAATATTTTAATGTTTGATTTAGTTTTTTTAAAACTAGAAAAAATAACTTATAATATTATTTTAATAAAACAAAAAATAATAAATATTCGTAAGAAAATTAAGTCCGCATATACGGGCAAAACACTTAGTTATATTATGAAACAGAAAGAGGTACTATTTGGGTTAATCAACGTTTTAATTAATCGGTTGTAGCCTTTAAAAACATATTCGGTTGTAAACGTGTATAAAAAAAAGTTCTATTGAACACATATATGTGATTAACTACGCATAAAACAGGTACTTGAACGCCGGAATATTCGCTACCGACGCCGGAGATGACCACACGTCAAACACGCTTCCCCGCCCGGCAACAAGAGCTGCGATGCTCATCCGTGTTAACACTCTCCTCCAAGGCTACTCAGGCATACGCTTCGAAATCCTCGAAGCCATAACAAAATTCCTCAACCGCAACATCACACCTCGCCTTCCTCTCCGCGGCACCATCACCGCCTCAGGTGACCTCGTTCCGCTATCCTACATCGCCGGATTCATAACCGGCCGCCCTAACTCCAGATCAGTGGGACCCTCCGGCGAGATCCTCACTGCCTTACAGGCCTTCAAGCTCGTGGAAATATCTTCTTTTTTCGAGCTCCGGCCCAAGGAAGGGCTTGCGCTCGTGAACGGGACTGCTGTTGGATCCGCTTTGGCCTCGACGGTACTGTACGACGCTAATATTTTAGCGGTTTTCTCAGAGGTTGCTTCTGCCATGTTCGCTGAGGTTATGCAGGGGAAACCGGAGTTTACCGATCACCTGCCGCGATCATGGAGCATATCTTAGACGGAAGATCTTACCTTAAAGCAACTCAACGTCTCCATGAGATTGATCCGTTACAAAAACCTAAACAAGATCGGTATGTTTCTTGTTTATCAAGTAATCACTTGTCTTAGGTTCTCTAAGTAAGTGTTGTTTTGTGACTAGGTTGTCTAATAGTTTCGACCACGTTCTAAAAATCTCTATAAGTGGCGACCATGGTCTAATACAATTATATCATTTTCTTAAAATTTGTTTTATACAATTATAATCGTTTGAAACTATTTTCAATCAATTTAAATTTGTATAAATTTGTTAAATTAAACAATAATATTAGCAGCAATCTACAAACTTATTTAAATTTTATTTTGTATATATAATTTTCATAATTCATTAATATAAATTTATAACTAAAACCAAACACTAAAATATTTTATATAAATGTCAAATGTATATAAAATAAAACAATAGTTTGTTAACGCTTAAATCCGTCTAAGCATAAAAGAAAAAGAAAAGAATTTGAGAAAAAAGAGTGAAGATTGTTGTCCGAGAATCTTTAAGAACTTTTTCCCCACATGTCACAATTGTGTACATCTTTTTCCATCTTTATCTAAATAAAATAAATTAACTATTTAATTTAAAACAAAACTGAAGGGTATATTCAACTAAGAGTTTGAGTTGATTTGTGTTAAAATGATAAATCTACTGGTTATTCAAGCGTGAAACTTTAGAAAATACTTTAAAATCTAGTGTTATTGAACATGTCATTTCATAAAACACTCTTTAAATTCACTATTATTAAACAGAAATTAAATTGAAGATTTTAGAGTGTTTAAAGTATTTCTAAAATGTTTAAGAGAGATTTGTTAGTTATAAAAATAAAAATTAAAATTAAAATCTCATAGTTTTAAATGAGATTCTAGAGTTATTTAACAAAAATCACCTAAAATTCCAAATTTTCATACAATCATCTAAAACCTTTTTAAGAATCAAATCACTTCAAATTATAGATTACACCCATCACTTAACTAAAATAACGATATTTGATTTTTAAGAACCTACTTTTAAGAGATCAACGATAAGTTGCTCTAATAACTTGCATGCATAGTCACATGTAGCCTAACTATTTTTTTAGCATTGGTTTGACTTTCCTGTTTCAATTAACAGTTACGCTCTACGGACGTCACCACAATGGCTTGGACCACAGATTGAGGTGATCAGATCAGCGACCAAGATGATTGAGCGAGAGATAAACTCTGTAAACGACAACCCTTTGATCGATGTATCACGTGACAAAGCTATTCACGGTGGAAACTTCCAAGGGACACCTATTGGTGTAGCCATGGACAACACTCGTCTAGCCATCGGTTCCATCGGGAAACTAATGTTCGCGCAGTTCACTGAACTCGTTAATGATTTCTACAACAACGGTTTACCCTCTAACCTATCCGGCGGAAGAAACCCTAGTCTTGACTACGGTTTAAAAGGTGCCGAAATCGCCATGGCATCTTATTGCTCCGAGCTTCAGTTCTTGGCTAATCCTGTGACGAATCATGTGGAAAGCGCTTCTCAGCACAATCAAGATGTTAACTCACTTGGACTGATTTCAAGCCGTAAAACCGCGGAAGCTGTAGCTATCCTCAAGCTCATGTCAACAACTTACTTGGTAGCTTTGTGCCAAGCCGTTGATCTAAGACATCTTGAAGAAAATTTAAAGAAAGCGGTTAAGGCGGTTGTGAGCCAGACCGCGAAACGCGTGGTAACTATTGAACCAGACCACATCGTTCGAGTTATCGACCGTGAATATGTCTTCTCTTATGTTGATGACCCAAGTAGCCTCGCTAAACCTCTAATGCAAAAGCTTAGACACTTCCTTGTTGATTACGCTATAGATAAACCGGATCATGGGATCAACTCTGTTTTCGAGAAAATAGGAACGTTCGAGGCTGAGCTGAAATCTCTCCTCCCTAAAGAAGTGGAACGAGTCAGGACAGAGTACGAGAAGGGTACGTGGGATGTGGCTAATCGAATCAAGGAGTGTCGGTCCTATCCGTTATACCGGTTTGTGCGAGAGGAGGTCAAGACCAGGTTGCTAACCGGTGAGGATGTTTGGTCACCGGGAGAGGATTTCGACAAAGTTTTCACGGCAGTCTCTCAAGGAAAACTCATAGATCCTTTGTTTGAATGTCTCAAAGAATGGAACGGAGCTCCGATTCCAATCTGCTAGAACGTTCCGTCCAGTCTCTAATAAATCAAGAATAATGTAATGGTTCTTGTCATCTTCTACTTTTTCTGTATTTTTATTATCATCTTTCCATGTTAAATCAAAGACCATTCCATCTTGTCTTAATTTCTACAATGTTATCTTCGAATGAATTATTTCCAGTTTTTATTTCAAAACCATGATTGCTAGTTTTGATTCAATCTTCGATGTTGTTTTTAGACTTGTATAAATATACACTCAATATACTTTATATTTTTATCTAAAATTGTTTTTTAGTGAATTTTGATATGGATATCGGCGTATCTAGTAACCTCTGACCTCGAATATTGTACATGTGTAATTAACAAAAATGAGATATTGATGCGTTAACCCATACAGATATAAAGTCCAAAATGCTTCTGATGTCCTTATAAATCGATGCATGTTTTTAACGGTCATTAGATCTTTGACCCGCACAACTAATAGTTTAATAGTTTGCATGTTTCAAATTATTAGTTATATTTCTGTGTATTAAAAATGAACACTAATTAAAACTTTACATTATGTAATATTTATGACAAAATCTGTTCAATTTAATATTAACTTAAATATTAATTTCCTTATGATTATACTTGTATTTTAGATTTTGGTCATATATGTACATATATGCTAATCAAATTGTTTGTACTATTATTTTACAAATCTTTGACTGATAACTTATATTCAAATACAATAATTTATCAAATTTTCGGTTCATTTAAATTATTAAACTGGAAATTATAAAGCAATGTGTTTGTTTTTATTCTTTTAAACCTGCATTTTCATTTTTTATCAACGTTTTTGCGGTTTCTTATGTTGTTTATTGGTGATTCAGATTTTTAAACTCCAAAACTCTTGAAGTATTTATATGATTTGTTCATTTTTAAAATTTTATTTGCAATTGTTCATATATCTATCATACACCGTGTTATGTAATTAACACTTAAATCTACAACTAAATTTGATAATAAACACACTGAAATAAAAATAATGGCATAAATTTTTTTTTTTCAATCATATCTGTCACTTATGTTAATGGCATAAATTGGTACAATACCTATTGCACTTTAAACATTGCACAAGATAAAAGAAATAAAAACAATTACATTAATGAATAATATATGAATATGATCTATATAAAAACTTGGTTATATTTTTTTAGCCATATACTTCTATTATTAAAAAATAAAGCTAAACCAGCCACTATATTTAATAACAAAAATGGAATGCACTTTCAAAATAGGATGTGTAGACTGATCATTCTAATTGATAGTATATTTTCAACAGTGTGGTACAAAATTCTAAATTAACAAATCATAATGAGAGATTTAATTGAAAAATATCATGTTAAAATAATATCAGAAATTTTATACAAATTATACATCAAATTAATATAATTACAAAATTAATTAGATACTTAAAAGGTTTATTTAAGCATAAAATGAAATATAATTTCTACATTAAACAATTACAAAATTAATTAAATATTTAAGTGAAAAACGAAATGCATTGATATTTTAAATAAATATGAAAGTAATTAAATATTTTTAAGGGTCTGCTTTAATGAAAAAAAATATTTATATTGTTAAGAAAAAGATATGAAAAGATTTTATTCATATTTAATTCAGAGAAAATATAGGAATATCTATTCGATTTTCTAGAATAGTTAAATAATTTAAATATGTATGAAAAAATTCATTTAAGTAAATTTTTAAGGGATGGTCCACTTTAAAAAATCACACATGAAATGGAGTTTTAAATTTTATTGTAATAGAATAGATGTAACACTAAACTTATATATCTATAAAAACCATAATTCATTTTATATCCTAGCAAGTCTTTATAATGTGATTCTATAACTCAATGGGGGTTGAACTAGTGACACTTGAGGAATAAACCTAATACGATAAATACACAGTCTGAGTTAGATTTCCGTTAGCCACCCGTACTGACTTAAATGATAAGAATACATGGCCGTTGGAAACTTTGTGGGACTAGTAGGTTGACTTTGCTCGTCGGATCTAAATAATTATATTTAATTTAAAGATATCTTTTATTAAAAATTAAGAGTAACTTTTTATTTTGAACATAATTTAAGGATAATTGGTTTTTGGAATAATCCGGTGTTTCTTGGCCTTCATTTAAGTGGATCAAATTAGTGATGATGTCTGTAACAGCTTATGTTATTGGTCAGATTACACCTCAGTCTAGGCCTGGGCATTTTACCCGGACCCGAAGACCCGACCCGAAACCGACCCAAAAAAACCGGGTCCGGGTAGGAACCGACCCGAGCAAATTACCCTATCGGGTCCTGTTGTGGAGGACCCGCGGGTCTTGGACCCGACCCGGACCGAACCCGAATTAATAGTGTAAATTAAATAAAATGCATTGAGGGGGAGTCGAAGACAGGTTGTTTCTATAGAGAGTAAGGGGGTCAACCACTAGGAGACAACGAATTGTTGTTGTATCTCGCATAGTTTAATATATATACACATTTTAATATAGTAAAAACACAAATTTTGAATAAAATTTTGAATATTTTCGGATATATAAGTATTTTCAGATTTTTTTTTTTTATATATTTAGGTATTTTTTAGGTCGAAACCGAACCGAACCCGACCCGAAACCGAACCGAATCCGAACCGATAAATTCTAATTACCCGAATGGGTCCAACTATCTAAGACCCGACCCGACCCGGACCCGGTACGACCCGAACCGAACCGAAACCAAAAATTTGAAATTACCCTATCGGGTCCTAAACTCCTAGACCCGAAAGACCCGGACCCGAAAGGACCCGACCCGAACCCGACCCTACTACCCGAATACCCAGGCCTACCTCAGTCACACGACGTTGGAGTAAAATTTAATATTCAAAGAGGATTTTATTCAGGTTATGAATGAAAACTGAAGTGCGGTGCGTATTTGTAGTTGATGTGACAGAAATTTTCCAACATCACCAATCAAACAAATGGTAATCACAATAGCGTTTTTTCATCAAATACTGCACTTCAAAAATTATTTTTTGTTTGTTCAGTTTTCATATTATAACTTAGCAAAAACGCACTTTAGAATCCAACTGTCAGATAGGTAGCGGTTCATTCCAATTCCGCTCTTGTTTATAACAAAAAATATTGTTTATGTTAATACCATATATGTTGTTAATTTATCAAATACACACATTAAATAAAGGTAACTTTTTATTTTAATTATTTTATCTCACCTATATATATATATAACATATGTGTTACCTATATATACTAGAATACATATATGTTAATATATATAAATATTATGTATTCTAGTATATAGGTTTTTAAATCTATATGCAGAATAAAACTAAAATTCCATCATATGTTTTATATTTTGTTATTTAACATTTTAGTATGTATATATACATCTATCTATATATATATATATATCTGAGTTTTAAATCAAATATTTTTTTTATATTTTTTCATAAATAATCAACTATTGATTACTTTACTAAATTAAGTATTTAAACTTTTGATAAAATCGTACATGATAATATTTCAGTTATATAGTTATTCAAAATAGTTATTTCAGACCACTTTTATTTTAATAATTATTCAATACAGCAAATATATATATAGTCACCAATCAAACAATATATCATACAACTTTTTACTTAAAATTGCAGTCGTTCCGTACCACACGTTCCGAAGTTACACCGTCCCGCACTTTAATTCTGCACCGCTTAATAACAAATCCGTCGTTACCATTCAGAGCCTCAATAAAACTATTTATAAACTAAGTAAACATATGGCAACCACACTAATTATATTTAAAATTAAAAGGGAACTTTATTCTCTCACACTTAACAACAAATCTGTCTTCTTACTGATTTATGTATTTTTCATTTAGAATCATAACTTGTAAGGACATTCACAACGGGAGCTGTTAGTGAATCATTAGCGCTAAGTCTTAGGTTAATTTTGATAAAATAATATTAATTATGTTAATTAAGCGAAGGATTGGTCCATCGAGAAGCATTTTAAAGAGTTGATCCTTGTGTACGTGTCAGTGCGTGAGTGGGTCGGTGTCAGTTTGTGTTTGTGTTGGGTCAAAAAAAAAACTTCATTCTCGACCGAACCCATAAAAAAAGATTTCTCGAGGGAAAGGCGACATCTCGGCGATTTCACTCCGTCGGTCTTCGCACGGTAAATCGAAGCCTTAATCTTGTATATTTTTCATTTAAGATCAGTTTTCATCTTGTTTCCTCTCAATTAAGGGTTGGGTTTAAAGATTTCAACCGATTTGGGTTTACGATTGAAATTAGTGTTTCAAAACGATTTGGGTATAAATCGATTTGAGGATTCTTTGCGTTTGTAGAAAGGGTTTCAAAACGATTTTGGTTCCAATCGGAAGCGAATCTTCTCTTTATTTCTTATACGGTTTCAAAACCCATTTTGGTTTCAATCGATTAACGGTTTCAAAACCTTGTATGTTTTCAATCGATACCTTTTATGTTCTCAATCGATTACAACAACATTGTGTTTTCTTAGGTTTATATGTGTTCGCTTTCAATCGGTTCTTATTGATTTGTCATTTTTCTCCAATCGATATGTTGTTTGCTTCCTTGTTCGTTGGTCTCGTTGTTCGCTTTCAATAACTTTTTCTTACTCGTTCCTTTCACTGGTTTGATGATGATTATTGTTGTTTAACTTTGTTCTTACATCATTTCTTTCAGGTTAACGAAAATGGAACAAGATTACAGCTACAGCCAGCCATCTTCATCATCAGACTTTCTAGACATAACCTCCCTTCTTCAAGCAGAAGCTCAGATGTACTCGGATGAAGCTGAGAGGAGCTACTGCAATGCAGAGTCGGTTCAGTACCCACATCAACCAGAGGCTGATGATGGAAGCCCAACGTAACGCTACTGTGGTGCGGAGCCTGTTGGCAGATGCTCTTACACTCCTAAAGATCCATATAATAGGTACTTTATGTGCCACAATGTTGATGA